TATTAATAGCAAGTTCAATACATATATTAGGAAGCATTTTTAGAGTTCTCTTAATTACTCTGAAAGAGTGGGTTAATATTTTTATACTAAGATTTTGGAAGTGGCCACAAATGCAAAGCAAAAGGGTGCCCAAATTCAGATTCCAAATGTGATACAAAATTGCAAAACCCTTTAAGTTTCCAGACACATATTTGACCCATCATGATCTACCTTCCTTGGATTTCCCACCTATCACTTATTAAATTAAAGATTAAATACCTGATACTTTTTATATCCCAGGAGAGAAGTCACAATATAGGCTGTAAGTGTTACTGGACTTTTGTTGCCACCTTGAAGCTCACTATGGATCACTCTTCCTGGTTCCCAAAATTCACCACTGGATTTTTGACGCCCTTTAAGCCAAGTGTATGTTCTGTGTAACACATTCTGGTCAATATCTATGTACGGATCAGCTTCAAGGAAACATCTTAAAACAAAAGCTGACAACCTTGGTGAAAAGAGAGAAAAATTACATAAAATACACTTTATAAATCCTCCAAATAACACTGAGCAAGCAAAACACTTTTCCCCTCAGAGGTTCACCAAAGGGACAGCACTGAAGGATGAAGGGAAGAAAGCCAGCACAGAGGCCACGTGAACAGCTCTGCCTCGCAGGTGGGCCTGGATTCCACTTCGGCATGGTCAAGAAATTCCAGGTAGACTCACAAAAAATCAGATTTGGAAAGGAACTTAGAAATCATCTAATCCAGCCTCATTATTTTATCGATTGAGAATTCAACACTCCAAGAGAGTTAAATAAATTGTCCAAGGTTACCTAGGTGTTTACTCAAAAAGATTTCATACACACTTCGTTCAGGAAGTATATATAGTTCACAAGCAAACAGTAGTACTTCATGTGGAGGGAATGGATATTTTCTCTCCTATAGGACAGGAGTCAGCAAACTATAGCCTGTGGGCCAAACCTGCCTGGCCCAAATCTGGCTCTCAGGCCAAATACAGCCCGGGCCTGTTTATGTGTGCACCTCCACGCCCCCTCCATGTGGCACCACCACCACCTAAGAATGGTTTTTAAAAGGGGAACGAAAAAAAGACAAGAGAAGGGGGAGGAAAAGGAGAAAAAAAGGGAGGAGAAAAGGATTGCTTCAATATTTACTATCTGAACCTTTAGAGAAAAAGTTTGCCAATCCCTGCTACAGAACCCTATACTGAAGTGAAAAGAACGTCAAGCAATAAAACACTGAAATCTTTCTATTTATGGATCTATATCCTGATTCATGCCAAGAGAAAATGTGAAGCAGACCTGTTTCATCTTATATAAGGCTTAGTGTGGTAAACTTACTAATATTCAATAATATCCAGTTCTGTTTTACTCTGGGT